ACCCTACAACATCCAGAGCCTTGAGGAACTCCGGGCGGATCTCATCCACCCCCGGGGCCCTGCCACTGAGGAGGTTTTTGACCACCTCAGTGACCTCGTCCCCAGAGATTGGAGAGCCCAACCCAAAGTCCTGCCAAAGTCGTGTGCAATTAATCGTCAGAAAAACATTAATCGATTATTTTTTGGCACTTGACGATTAATACGATTAATGCCACCAGGCAGACTGACTGCTTGGTGCTCCTCTCCACTTCAAACATGATGAACATTTAAAAAAGCTCTTAATTTATTTATCTATCAACACAATTTAAAGTTTGATGTATAGCCTGAAGTCTGTAATTTTGACACAATTTGGAACATATTTTTACGAAGAGCCAATTTTCTCCCTACAAACTGGTCATGTGACTAGGATACAAGGGTGTCCAGGGACTCTGGGGGATTAATCTTTAAATTAATCGTTATCGGCTATATACAACACATTAATCGTGATTAATTTTTTTGCCAATATTGCCCAACCCTACTAAACACTGCCTTCCTGCTACGTAAGCAGACACAAAGCATTGTGGGAAATGAGAACCGTGACCCAAAGCAACAGTCAGCAAGGATGTATACCTTCACAATATGCGTGTTTATCTGGGAGGGGTGTTGTTGGATAGATCACATGTGTTGTGATTCATTGACAGCCATACCTTCTGCTGTTCAAAATAATGATGTCTGGTAGATAGTTAGTATTAGTGGTAAAAAAAAATTAAAACACATTTAATTTTAGAAAGCGCAAATCTGCTTATGAATTATAAAAATTAGTAAGACCACTAAAGCGCAAACAAAATATTTAGGTCCGCAATTAGCGGGCTGGTGCCCACCACTGTATTTCAATATATGTAGAAAACTACTGGAGTAAACGCTTTAAACCGCACTGTTTGTTATAGTTTAGGTTGGATAATCTTTTTATGTTTGAGTTCACACTTTGCAATGAGTACCTTTCAGTTTGAAGCTGTGAAGTCTGTGTGTACATGTGTTTGTGTGAATTTAAACACATTTACTGACATCTTTGTTCTGTAAGCTGAGATGAAAGTTGTCTGTTTGCTCTGGGCTCAGCGTGTAGGACCCAGCGAGGGCACACTGTCACATGTAAGAAGGAAAGCAGGATGTGCCTGAGGGGGCCCATCGGTAGAACTAAGTCAGACCCCAACTATTGTGAGTGGTCCAGTCATGGTCTGACTTGGACTGAAGTGGGACAACTTGTACTAACCCTCCCATAAGGGTTGTTTTGTTGTTTGCTAACCCTCTCACATTGATTGTTTTTTCCTTCGTTTTGAGGAAGGTAGAATACATTCAGTGTGAGAAATCTGGCTTTTCATGTTTGCAGTTTTTTTGTTTGTTTTTTTTCCACTTAAGGAGGACTCACATTGATGGGTGACGATGTATTAACTTTCTCCTTTGGGACATAGATGTGTTTTCTGTGGGAACTCCCTGTTTGCTTGTTTTAGCTTTAGTCCAAACAGCTTTGAGACATGAATAACACTTTTTGCTTTTATATTGATATATTTATTTTAGTGTATTTTTCACATTGAGAATGTTGTCAGGTGTAATTGCAGTAAATCAGCATCTTCAGAAAAACACATCTCAATGTAAAAAACAAAAATACATGTCTTTTGGGATGTTGTGGACAAGGGTTTTCTGAATGGTTTTGATCTGATAGGTGGTGCACCACACTCCTGATCAAAGTTTTAAGACCACTTAAAAAATGGCAAGAATTCACATTTTGCACTGTTGGATTGTAAGTATAGAGGACTGAAACTGACATGACAAATAAAAGCAGAAAAATATAAATGAACCAAAAAGTAAATGCACTTAAAATGTACCAATTAATTTAAAAAAATTTGAATTTTACCTCATGTTTTAGAATTTAACTATGCGAAGCGTAAGCGGGAGTCATTGTTTTTGTACTGTTTTTTTTTCCAATGATTTTTGGACAACCGTAAAACAAAAACGGCTGCACTGATCAACATGAAATTTGGCAGGGCTGTAGTTGAGTCTGACCTACACTGCGCCAGCCACGGTTTTACGATAGACCCCATATTTGAGGAAGGGGGTTCCTTTCAAAGAGTGGGTGTCAGGACATGCAAAAATGCTTATAACTCAAAAACTATTAAACATAGAAGCTTCAGATTTCTTTTGTTGTTTAGCTCTGATGAAGCTCTATCCATCAGGTCCAAGGCACCCCCACCCCCC